AGCTTCTGCAGACCTCCCAGAGTGTCCTTCAGCACAGCAGCCAGCTCTGTCTCCAGCTCTGCACGCCTGCTGTCTGCAGTCACCTGGGTTGCCTTGCTCGTCATGTATTCAAAAAAGGCCTTAAATCTGTTCTCTGACTGGGTGACATGGTCGATGCTTAGGTCGATGTTGTCAGCCCTGTCTTTGATGTCCATCATCATGAGCAACTCTGTCTCCCTCCCAAGCATCCATTTATGGCTCCTCTCACAGAATTCTCTCACTGTGTCGATGTAGATGAGGGTATCCCCGATGTAGCAGCACAAGGCCTCCTGAAGTTCCTTTCTGAAACACAAAACATCTTCCAGTTTGTGAAAGTTCAAAACTAATTCAAACTAAACTGTTGCTGTGGAGCTGCAGGAAGCTTTGGACAGGAGTCAGACAGCCACTCTTCATCTCCAGAGTGAACTAAATACTGAAGTTGAGCTGCAGTGTTTGAACCAACAGCAGCACTGAGAGTTGCTTCACCTGCACAATATCACTGAAAGAGACACCAAACAACTACAAAGAGACACTAAATGACCTCAAAGATACACTAAATAACTACAAAGAGATTCAGAGACACAAAACAATAACTACACAAAGACTACAACATGAGCTAAATGACTACAAAGAGACGCAGAGACACAAAACAGCTACAAAGAGACAAACTACACAAAAAGACCACAAAACGACTACAACATGAGCTAAATGACTACAAAGAGACAAAAAACAACCATAGAGATGCAAAAAGACAATAAAACAACTACAAAGAGAACAGAACGACTACAAAAAATATGGAGAGACAAAATAAACAGCAGCGAAAAAGACAAATAACTACAGAAAATGCAAAAAGTCAACAAAACGACTACAAAGAGACAAACTACACAAAAAGACCACAAAACGACTACAACATTAACTTAATGACTAGAAAGAGACACAAAGAGTCTACAAAGAGACACAAAGAGACAGACAAACACAACCTCAACAAAGTAAACTACAAACAAAAAAGGTAAAAGGGAGAATACTGGATTCACCGTAAACTATATAACACAATAAGTATGCATGTATGTATTTATTAATGACTAAAAAGACCCACTCATACATCTGAGGGGTCGTGAGATGATCGGATGGAAAAGAGGAAAGAATACTTACCAGAGCACAAAACGTTTATCAATGTGTTTAATGACTTCCTGTTTTCAGAAATCTTTTTAAACAATATTCTACTTATTCTTTTGAGCACAATAAGTTACAATAATCTATTTTGAACAGTGAAATGATTTTACAGTGATTGATGACATACCAAAAGCTAAGAGGTGATCATTTCACTACATGCAACATTACTTTTCTACATTTATGCAACACTAAAAAACACTGAAATGTATTTAACATCTTTATAACCTATTGTGTGGCCTTTGGGGGTTTCAGGCATTCACACATCTGTCTCCTAATAATACACATACACAGTTATTGTTCTATAGGCTTCTCTGTCTTTTTCTGTGCAAAAGTAGCTCAAAGATTTAAACTCTTTACCTTGCAGCAGACATGTTTCTCTTCTTGGTATGTCGTCTTCAGGTCCTCATTTTATTACCTGCCTGGTTAAAATATAAACAGATCTTTTACTTGTCTAGAGACCACCAACTCATCTGTTGACTGAATCAGTTAAACATCACCATCTGATGCGTCGGGATTTTTCTTGAAATCTGACGCTGTTCGGTTTCTTTTTCGTTTCTCAACATCTCCAGGTTGAACCGAACAACACCCATTCATTCACGGCTCGGCCGTCAGTTGAGTTTTGTTTATTCAACTCGCTTAAACAGGGAAGTCAGTATGACTTCAAGTACCCGTTTGATTCTCGCGATGTCACGAGATCACGCGAGAATCACGTTATCAGAAGTAGCGCACCAGCTGATTTCCTGATGCTGCCTTCATGTCGGAAATGTAAACTTGATGTGACCGAAAGCAATGATTTAAGTGACTGTAAAGGGAAATTTCCCTTTCTAGTAGAGCGTTAATATGGGAACAGTGGTATTCAAATACTGTACTTTAGTACAATCCTGTCCTGACATCCTGTTGAAACTGCCAGGCACTGCTGCACGCGCTGTTTGAGCAGGACAACACGCAGCTTTGATTATTTAGAAAATCTATAAATGGTACAAATCTTCAGAGTTGCTGTGCTCTATTTTAACCTTAACAGATGTTTAATCACTCACAATACTGTGAGTTAAATGTGGCTTTGTAGCGTCTTTTGGTGTATTTTTGTTTTAGAAAAAGTTAACTGTAATCGGTGGTCTAATGCAAAATCATCTTTTATGGTGTCATCAGGGTTCAGTTCACTTATCAGAAGTCTTGTGTAACAGCACCACCCAGTGGTGTATAGGGCGAGAATCTTTAAATCTAAACTTTTCTATTTTTGTTTGTATGTGAAATTATAAAGTAATAAATAATAATTCTTGAAATGGCTTCATTTGGATAGATGTAGGCTGATGGATCAAACACTGCTGTTAAAGTTGAATGAAACAGAGCAGAGGGCTGACTGAAGCAGCTATAAACCTTCATTAGATGACCCATATGACAGCACTGCTGATGTCCCTGGTCATGTTAAGACACCGCGTGCACAGCGGTGTGTATACAAGCTATATGCAGTGAGGTGGGCTTAGTGCCCTTTCTATGGCAACAGGGCATCCAGAATCTGTATGTCTTCTCTCAGCTGATCTCAGTTCACTCCTCACAGCTATGACACTGACTCCATGCTCACTAACAGATCTCAGATCAGGCAACAATTTAAAATATTGTAATAAACTGTCAGAAAATAAAAGGCAAGTTTCAGGTTTGATGAGGGAGAATGAATGACCAGTCCTGACCAAGAGAGAGAAAATGACGTAAAGATGAAGAAGGAAAGATCTTTAAGGAAATAAACGTGAAGAAAAACATTAACTTAGGATAATAAAGAATAAAGAATGAAGGAAGAAATTAAGGAAAAAGAAATAAAAACATTAATATGAAGAGAGGAAAGAGATGGATAGACAGACAGGAGGAACAAATAAAAAAATGAAAGTAATAAGAAACAAAGGAAGGAATAATTTAAAGAAAGAAGACAAGGCAACATGAAGAGAGGGGAAAAACAAAGTATAAGGAAAGTATAAGTAGCATGATTCAGACATTATAGTGCATCACTTTTGTCTTAAGCTTGCAGTTAGAAGCAGAATAAAACAGAAATGAAATGGAAAACAGAAGTGAGTATCTATCAGCCTGAGTCACAATAATACAGTAGTTACCTGTTGAAACATCTTCCAGCAGCAGGCGGCTGAATCAGGAGCCTTTTATTCTGCAAACAGACTGACTGTGTCTTTGTGATGGAAGATTTCTATGTTAATCGGGAGAAGAGAGAGTTGTCGCCACAGATACTCATTCAGCAGTCTGTGGTGTGAGCTTCAACGAAATACAACATTCAACCTTCTTTTATACCTACAGAGGCCTCCGTCCCACATGACTCCCATGCAGGAAGTGTCCAGTCTGGTCTTATCTGGTTCATGCAGTATAGCTCAGTGAGTCGGCTGTGGTTTCTATGTTCCTGTTTTAAACTACCCTTCTGAGAAACAGAGTATGTGAACATGTCTTCAGTTAAGAAAACAGGTCTTTAGGTGCTGACATCTGCGTCTTGCAGGGCCTGTTTTTACTTCTCCATTATACCAAGATGTCACACTATGTTCTTTAAAAACCTTCCACGATGCTAATACATATCTTACCATTACATCTTCTCTTTGACCTGTTTGCTCCTGTTAGCTTCTCTCATGGCGTTAGCTTCACTGATGCAGGAGAAAGAAGAGCAGCCACCCTGAGAATGTCTGGAAAGTTTCAGGAAACATGTAACAAAGATAGAAGTACAGGAAATACAAGTACTGCATCCATCAAGTGTAATATATTTGAGTAAATATGACAAATTCAGTTCTTCATTCAGGTCGAAGAGCTGCTCTGTGTTAAAAGTGTGAATCCAACACGCCTCTCTGCGGAGCAGTGAGTTGATAATGTCACCACCTCCAGGAGAGGGGGAAATGTTTTCTATTCCCCATTAAATGAAGCTGCAGAACCATGGCCAGCCTGCTGAGCATACTGTTCAGCATTAACAAATATAATTGCTCAACAAAATGCACTAAAATTTGAAATACAGAGGTGTTAAAATGATTAATCCCACACAAAAAAAACACAAATTAAGTATTATTCTATCATAGAAGCACTGGTTGCACTGGGCTTAATGGCAATTAGCAACATGGGTACGTGGATTAATTTGAAAATTGGGGCTCAGGGGCCCAATTGCCCCGGGGCCCCTGAATAGGTTTACTCCGGCCACGCAGGATGCTGGAGCAGGCGAAGGACAGCGTCAAAACGCTCACTCAGCTGCTCTCAGCTCAGTGCAGACACTGAGGGATCAGAGTGGAAACACTGCTGACATGGCAGTGTTCTCACAACACGCAAGACAGCGGGACAACATCTGCAGAACACACTGAAGAACACGGAGTAACACAGCAGAACACAGAGACGCATCGGGATGTAAATGCTATAATGTTCAGTTTGTATTGGTGAGTCATCTGTGTATGAATCAGTTTGGAGGATGTAGTTTGTGGTGCTATTGAATTATAACACTCACAGGTGTTTTTATTATTATGTCTACCCCACTTATGAATGAGTGTAGGCTAAATAACCGATCTGTGTAATGCGCCACAAGCCCTTTTACCCAGATAGTAACAATATTGTGTTTAAAGTTATTTTTACATGGAAATGAAAAGGAGCGCAAACACCTAAAACATCTATGTTATGTAAAAAAAAGAAAGGAAAAAAAAAGGTTTAATCCAAGCTGCTCTAACTCACTGTGCATCTAATTTGTCTTCCTGGAGGGAATAATTGTGTTTAACCCTGTAGACCAGAGGGCCCATGGGGGCCTCCTCACCCACAGACTCCCTCTAATCAGGCTCAATTACTGAGGATAGAAACGTTCAAAGTGCGACCACCTTTAAGCGAGCCTCTGTTTTCTTTCCCTCCCTCTCTCTTCTTTTACTCCAGAGGACAATTTACTGGAAGCATTCCCTGAGCCAATGCTCGAGGGGCGCTCTATAACAAGGCCCCGATTAGGCCTGGATTTGCAGCTTGCTGAGTTGATGTCAGATTGGCATAAAGAGTCCACTTGGGACCAGTGTGGATGCGGGCCTGGGACTTGATTTGCGTACCCTCTCTCGCCTGTCAGGAATAATTGTTTAACGAGTGCAAAGGGTCAGAGAATCAGAGAGGTCTTTAGTCAGAGCTCAAGGTCTCTCTTCAGGGAAAAAGTGTTTAAATCTGCTTCAACGAGAGTTTACTGTGGAATTAACGCTGTTTTTTATAATATGGCTTAATGCTACTTTATACTAAATATTGTACTATTTACTTCATCTACATTTATTTGACCTTTGCAGATTAAGAATTTAAATTTAAAACAACTTTTTATTTATTGTTATATATTAAATAACGATGCTGCTTACATATTGACACTTCATTATTCAAAAATATACACTTATGGAAGACGTATTCAGATATTTTATTTAAGTAAAAGTAGCAATAAAACAAAAACAAGTAAAAGTCATGCATTCACAATTTTACTTAAAAGTACTCTTTATGCAGAGTGACCCATTTCAGAACCATATATATTATATAACTGTACGACCTGTACTGTTTATTAATTAATAAACTTAATTATTGATGTTTTAAAGTGTTCATCACTTCAATGCTGCAGCTGGTAAAGATTTAGCTCATTTTAACTGCTTAATACACTGCTGTGTAGCTCAATATGTAATTATACATCATAATGTAATAGTTGATTTATGTTTTGTATTGATAATCTGCATCTAAAAAGTTATTCATATTGTCAAATAAATGTAGTGGAGTAAAAAGTACAATATTTCTCTCTGAATTGTAGTGGAGTAAGTGCTTTACTTATAAAGTGGCATAAAATGTAAATACAATACAATACTCAAGTGAAGTTCAAGTACCTAGAAATTGCACTTCAGCACAGTACTTGAATGTATTTAGTTACATTCCACCTCTGATAATATTTAACAATACAATACTCATAGAGGGCATTATGCCACATAATCAGTACTTTTGATACCTGAAGCAATTTTTGATGACACTACTTCTACTTAGGTGAAGTTTCGTTTACTTTAAATGTAGTATTTTTACACTTTTACTGAAGTAGTGATCCCATCATTTAATCAGAGTTATGGCATTCATTGCCTGATCCACCTACATCCAGCCTGTACA